AGAAAATTCTTCAAGGCTTTAACAAGCCTTTTTTGTAAATCCAATATAGGAAAACTATCCAGGTCACACTCTGGATAGTTTTCCTATATTGTTATTTGTATAGCCCTTTTAATTATTAAGACATCATCCAGTTTCTTTTGTATGTCCAGTGTAGCATCTTTTTCCATATCATTCTTGTAGCCAGTCATTTTCAAATCCACATTCAGATCAGTCTCAATCTTGTCAGGGAAAACTTGTTCCTCTTTCATAACATCTTTTAAACACAGTCTATCTATAGAGACAGACGCTCTTAAAATTAACTTCTGGGTCCATTGTTCAAAAAGATCCTTCAGTATGTCCAATATTAAAATATTTTGCTTCATTCTGTATTAGTAAATCAAATTTAAGAGTTCTTGTCCTTTAATTGTAATCTTTAGTTCCTTCTAGAATCCAACCTTCAAAGTCCTATCATGTTTTTTTTTTAAAAGAATTAAAAAAAAAGCATTTTCCCATGGTAAGGATTCTTATAATTAATTCCAAAATCTTATTTCAAATTTATCTGGGCCCTTAGTCTGTTTGTAACTTTCTAAAATCAAAGTATTAATCACCCTTTTGCTGTTATTCCAAAAAAAAAAAAAAAAAGTCCTTAAATTTGTATTTAAAACTTTCGCTAAGGATTGAAGGAAACTCACCCGCTGCTGTAAAACCTGTCAATCCAAAGGTTCCTAATAGCTGAAAAGCAGTTAACAAGCAATTTCCAAACGTGATTAGAAAAAGAAGTATGCGAACCCAGTGTCCTTTTGAAGGCTCTGACTGTGGTTTGAGCAAGATGGCTATTCCTCATCTCCCAGAGTTCAAAACCCACTGGAGACTGCTCTCTTGCAGTCTCCTCACAAGGAGCATCTGTCTGGAGCACTTGTGGATGACCTCAAGTCCTCTCCTTGTCCAGAGGAATTATGAAGATCTGGTCTACTCGCGGCTCTTCATTCCGCCATGGTCGTCAGCTCTGCTTTTAGCAGAGCCGTCTTCAGTTTGCCATTTCTTCCCTCAAGTCATTATGCAGCATTTCCCATAATAAGACTATAGTTTAGGCATAGCAAGCCTAAGCCTCTTTTGGAGCACTCTGAAGTTTCCACGGATTGCCAGCAACAGGACAGAAATCTAGGAAGCCACAACATTCACTGCCATTCCTTCCACTGCTGCTCGTTTTTTGTATTTTTCAAGTAATGGGAGGAATATTAATAGATGGATTTAGAAATTACCGATGTTTTTCACATTGATGAGGGTGTCTATGAGCCCTACTCAATCCCCTGTCCAACATACATCATGCCCCTTTTTAGCCATTTCATTGCAGAGATTTCATGAGCTTGGAAAAAGCCAGTTGTAAAAATGGCAGGAGAGATCTGAATTGGAATCCAGTATTGGACTTCCCCTCTCAAGTTTGGAACTCTGACCTCAGAGAGGTGATCCAACCAATTCTCAGGATCTGAAGCAGGATCCAAGGCAGCAAAAATTTCTCTCTAAATATATTTATATTGCCCAATAAATATATTTAGAATCCAGATGTAAGAATGTTTACATTAGATGTTAAGGTGCTATGCACTGTTTTAAACAAACGCTGTCTTAAATTATTTTCCTACCTTTAAAAAAAATGATTGTGGAAAACTCTCAGCATATAAATACTTTTGTTTGCTTATGGAAAGAATTTGAGATTCATAGGTTCCCAGATGTAATTCCCTAAAATATTACATTAATATATTAGGAACTTATGTGGTTGAGTGAGTCATATTCATTTATTTTTTTACTCCTTTCAGGGCAGCTCACAGTTTCAGTATTCATGTGAAAATCACTGATAAAAATAGCAAAAATAAATAATAGCACAGTATTAGTTAATTTTCTTCCTGAATGGAAAATGTTTAATCTTTTCATACATTAGCTGAGCCTACAGTTTCTCTAAGCAGAGTTCCAGAAAATGTGCCACTATGGAAAAAGCCATGCATACCTTGCTTCTGAAAATGGTGGCATATCCAGAATAGACACAGCAAGAAAAAGCACATATTCAATATATAATGACACAGAATGACAAACCACAGGAGAGATGTAAAAAATCTATTATAATTAGTACTAATGATGATATAATCATGTGTTACAATGAAGAACAATAAGACAGATACAACATACAAATTCTATTCTAATAGGGCAGAATATTTTCAACAATAGGGTAACTTTAAACTAGCTTATTTTTCATGCCTTTTCAGTCATGCCTTTGTCTTGTAAATAGCAATGAGAGACCTGACAAACTGTCCAGGTTCAAATATCACTCCTTCATAAATAAATAAATGTGCTAATCTATTTCCCTTCTCTCTGTTTTCACACTTAGCTTTGGAAAAGTGCTGTCATACTTGACTCTTCTTTCATTCAGTTACTAGCAATACCTCTTTCTCCTTACTATGAATAAAAATAATTAAAACCTAATGGCTTCTAGTAGTCACTATTGTTTTGAAAATATACTATCAATTTTGTCTGGGTTATAAATTTTAGATTTTAAATCCATTTTGTTGATCCTCGTTGTAACTCATTATTGTATAGCAATTTGTACATTTCTAAGAGATTATTTATGGTAGCCAGGGTAGAACTTCACTTCTGGAAGTATCTTGGAGCCTAGAGATAGAGGAGATACTATGTGTATATCCATTATAAAGTTAGTGCTACTTTTTAAAAACAACACATGAGGGTAGTCTGATAGTAAAATAACTAAATAGATTCCAGTAGAAGAGATATGTATCTCAGGGTTGATGATGTTACCTAATTGGTTAATGAAATGCCTGCAAGCAAACCAAGCTCAGAGAGCACCAAGGCTCACAACTAAATAGCTTGCTAAAAATCTTAGATTACCAAGAATAAGTAATAATTGAAGAATGATCTATCTTATTGATAGTAAGATAATATGTAGGATAACTTTTTTTGGTGGGCAGCTGACTTTTAAGTAACACGTATGTCCCAAAAGGTGATTGATGCAGGTACGTAATGCAGTAGGTCAATAAGTTAATAGACTAAGGTTGTGCTTCTATATATCTTACTTAGGAGCAATTCCTACAGAGTATTGAACTGAGTGGGATTTAATTTTGATTAACTACACAGTTGTATTGTTAGAAAAGAAAAGCCTCTGTCCAATATATATATACCTAATTGTTAATGTAAAGAACAGATTGACTTGAACCAAATGGTAAATTGTTACTTTATTGAACATGAGAGTAGAATATTTATAATTTAAAACAGTCAGTGGAAACATCCTTAGTAAGATTGCACTGTAAAATGGAATTTTTCTTTTATGCCATTTATTTCAGGAAATTAACAGGCAGTTGCAATCATTGGATTCTCAAATGGCATTACTCTCTGAAAAGCAGAAATGCCTGGGATGCAGAGATAACCAACTCCGTCAACAGAAAAAGGAACTTTTGGAACGAAAAAACAAAAGGAGACAATTAGAATCAAAAATTAGTATGAAACATGATAGGTATGCATTTTAAATATTATATAAATTTATTTAAAAATCTAGGTAAAAAAGTAGAATTTAGAAAACCAAACCAAAACATCATCCAGTTCTTATCCCCATACAAAATGCCTTCCAGGAAAAGAGTTGACTGACACAACTTTATGATAATGAATTGATAGAACAGTAGTTCTGTTTCCTTTATTGGAAAACAAAATCTTACAAGAAGACTTAAAATTGAAATACAAATATTACTAAGTTAGGTTATATTTACATTTTCCCTTTAATTTCTTGATTCCCTTCAATTATTTTTCCTTGATTGCTTCTTCCCTTCAGCAGCATTCACACTGTTTGGCTCTTGTTTTTGCTAAAGCACTTTCTTCCATGGGAACAGTGGGTAGCTTTGGGTCTGTCTTTCTCTCTTTGCCCAACCTTCCCCACAAGGTGTTTATTGTGGGGATAAAGTGAAGGCTGTTTGTCATCCAGGAGGAAATGGAGGTTATAAATTTAATCAGCAAATGTATACACCACAAATATTTATTTGTAACATTCTATATACATCTATACATCTCAGCCCCAAAGAACAATGCACATAGCATAATAATTTATTATCATCAGCTGGCTGTGATAGAATAAAAATGGAAAAAGTCAGTATAGTGGTTAATGTATTGCTTCACATCCCTGGTCCATTGATCCAGATACAGTATGTGACTTATGAATCTGGTCTAGTTGGACAAGAGTCCCAACTGGCAAAAAGATGGTACAGGACACTGCCAGTGATCGCTGAATTTGTAGTAGGCAAATAATACTGGTTTCAGAGGTTACTGCCAGTTTTGCTCTGAGGTATATGTCTTGAAGCATAGCTGCTGGGTGACCTTGGGCCAGTAATTGTTCACTTTGAACTGTTTATAATGGATTGTGAAGTAGTTGTGGATTGTGGAAGTAAGATAATTTTCAGATAATTTAAGACAGCATCACAGAAATTGCAAGACTAGATAAGTGAATATAACATGTAATAAATTCTTGATAGAAAACTCAAACAGAAACGTAGTGTCTTCTTTATTCTTTACACTAAAACAGCAGTCAAATAAAACATACAATTTCTCACATGGTAGAAAAGAAATAATGAGAAGATAGCCCAGTAGGCTACGAGAAGGGAGTATATATAAGGGAGTATATGAGCCAGCTGTTCTTTTGCATTGGTCAGGAAGATCATATAAAAAAGAAAAGAACATAGTACAGCCATTTCCATGTCTGTAAATGGCAGGTCTTATGGTTCTCAATCCTTGTTAAGGGAGTAAGCCACCTCAAAATGCTTTGCACGGTAACAGAGACATACTGGTGTAGGCTTTCACAGCTGGTATCTTTTGGGCAGTGTTGGGTTTTAGGGTTTAGAAGGTGCTAGTCACAGTTGGAGAAATGTCAGGAGTTCTGTTGTCTGGACCATGGACACTAAACCCTGAAGCCCAACAACTGCCCATAAGAGAGATAGCTTGGGAAAATGCATTATTCCAGGGAAAATCCAGCCTCCCACTCTTTCCTGCACCAGCTTCTTATATTGCAGCTAATCTGATAAGGGAGGGAAGCCTAAAGACGGGATTAGTAGATGGTAATAAAATGGTTGTGTTAAAAATCCATTTCAGCATTTTGTTTCTCTGTAACAGCTCCTCCACAACCCTGGTATTTATCAACTTATATGTCTATTGGTTTTAAAATATGTTGGGAAAAAAATACATGGACAGAAATCAGCTAAATTTAAGTACTTCCATATTTTCAGTTATTTTAAAGTTGTTATACGTAGGTAGTTGCTTCAATCATTCCCACTTAAGTAAGATATTCTGTTTATACATGATAAATGTCTTTAGTTTCCATCAAATTTTCTCCATAGCCCCTTCTATAACTTTGTGCTCTTAGTGGGATTTTTCTTATTCTCCAAAAGTCCTTCTCAAATGGGGAGAAAGTATTCCACTTGTATATCTTTATACTATAAAGACAGTGATTCTTAAACGGGCAGTAATTACCCCAAGTGAATAATTTGGGCATATCCTAGGGGTGACAGAGTACTTTGTAACTGCTTGTTTGTGAATTAAGGAGCTGCTGCTGCCAAGACACTTGTGTCAAACAACAGGATCTGGGGTTTTTTTTGTGGGGGTAATGGTAATATTTGAGACAAGGAAAAGGGGTATTTGGGTCTAAGAACCACTGCTTTATAGCAAGGATCCTTGGGATTTTAACTGACAGGATAATTAACCTTCTTGGTAGCTAATATAGTATGTAATTTTATTTTTTAGAAATGTCTTTGCTGTGATAGTTATCCTGAGCTGAAACATGTATAAAAGTTCACTGAATACAATTTGAGGAATTGAGACAAGGATGTTTTACGCTATTGTGTTGTCTAGGTGGAAAAACCTGTGCTATTAGTTTTAAACAAGTCTCACATGATAGAACAGTGATAGGATAGAGCTGTTGATGGAACAGTGATAAAATAGATCTGTTAAAGGCACTATTGAGATTTAGATTAGTGTAGTGCAATCTCTAGATTGTGTTAAACTAATCTTTGTGGGTTTCTAGGATCACCTGTACAGCATATTCTGATGATGATTTTCTACTTTCAAAGTAGAAATCCTCCTTTCTAGTTTTCCAAACTATCCCTGAAACATACTTCTGCAGTATTGAACTGAGAATGTAATACTTATTCTCAAAGCATTGCTCATAAATCTTTTTTATACAGTTTAAAACAGATGGAACAAGATGCCATCAATCTGGAAGAAGAATCTGAGCAAGCAAATGCTAAAATAATAAAACTTAACACCCAGAAAGTAAAACTTGTAACCGATTTTATGCAACTAATAAAGGTAAATACTGTTTTTTTTAAAAGAAGAGACTACTGTTAATGCAATTATATATTATAAAAACATTCAAATTATGAATTACTCTTTTTCATTCCTCTGCCACAAAATTTGCTATTTTATGTGGTAATTGGCACAAGCATTGATCATGTGTAATATTTAACTGTTAATATTAACAGTTATTATTTCATCTCTTAATTTCTTGCCACTTACTGCTTTCCCTTTAGAAGTATTACATAGAGTGGCACTCAAATGCTTTTGATTAATAATGGACTTTCAACATGTGGTTCATCATGATATTAGTTGCCATGTGATAAGCATTAGGTGAATTAACTTCAAATTAATAAGTCCTGTTGTTGATCTGAACTCCAGTATTTGGATTACAACAGTTGAGATATTCCCAAAATTTAATTAATTTGCCCATTGAGACCTATATCACAAGGTAATGTTTGAATGGTTTTGCAAATTGGAAAGAGAGAATTACTTTGCCTGGCCAAAAGTCTAAGTAGCTGTCAAACTGAATATCTTCGACAAATAAAATAATGTTCTGTTCTTAACACTGATTTCAGCCCAGCACAAGTGCTGTGATAAAATTATAGGAAGCTGCCTTATAATGAGCCAGACCATTTAATCCATTTAGCCCAATATCGGCTCTACTTTCTAACAGCCATTCTCCCTGATTGCAGGCTATAGTTTTTATAGTTGGTGGGGGTGGGGGGGGTTGTTTTGTTTTATTTTGGTAAATTTATTTTGGTTTATTTATTTTGGCTCTGGTAGTTCCTTGATTAGGGTATTGTTTACTGCTTTAATCAAGGAACCACCAGAGGGGGAAAAAATAAAACCCACACCCCCACCAACACTGGCAGGGCACGCCACTGTATATAAACAGAGAGCAAACCCCATTCCATTCTAGCACTGAAGATGTTACCTAGCTGGGTAATGAAACGTTTGCAAGAAAACAACCAAGCTCAGTGTACTCTACTACTGTGGCTCTCTCTTACAACTTGCAGTGTCGAATATTGTTGTAGAGAGAATGAGCCTTCCTGCCTCTTTTTCAAACCTCTTAAAAGTTTATTGATTTTTTTTTTAATGAACCACAGACTTTATAACCTCAGCTGCTCTCTCCTTTCCCTAATGTAACATGTTTCATTGGATGGCAAGGGGAAAAAGGAAAACAAAATGGGCTCAGGTATGCCAGGTGAAGACAATGTAAGAACAGTGTACTATTAGCATGATAAATAAAAAGAATGGTTTCTTCTTATGATTTATAAAGAGGAGGGAAGGGTTCCTAAATTTGTAGGAAATTTTTAGACCTCCATTTCCTGATAAATGTAATTTGTTCTTTTAGAAATGTGTCCAAAAGGTACACTAGTCCAAATTCAGTAGAAAGAGAGGCCTTAGCTTTCTAGATTTGCCAGAGAATGCACATTGGATCTGCTGTAACTCATACTACATACAAACTGAGAGTTTGGTGTAGTGGTTAAGGCATCAGGCTAGAAACCGGGAGACTGTGAGTCTCACCTTAGGCACAAAGTCAGCTGGGTGACCTTGAGTCAGTCATTCTCTCTCAGCCCTAGGAAGGAGGCAATGGCAAACCACTTCCAAAAAACCTTGCCAAGAAAACTGCAGGGACTAGTCCAGGCAGTTGCCAAGAGTTGACACTGACTCCAAGGCACAAAACAAAAAACCCAAAAAACTCATACTCCCATGAGTATTCTTCCTGGATGTTTTCTTCCTGGACCTGATTCTCTTCTTTCTGTTATCTGTACTCTTGAGAAGTGTAATTTCTAAAGAGCTGTGAGATGGGATTGGGAAATGAAAAAGATTCTTTGATTTGTAGGTCATTGATTTTGGAGGAAAAAAATGAGTATTCAGATGCATTCATGAGGGGGAGAATGCTTTACTTTTAAAGAAGTATTAAGTGGGTCGGGCATTTTCCGATGAGAGAAGAAAAAAAGCAAAAGTTATGTTTGTTTCAGTGATATGGTAGGTTCTAGTTGATAGACAATCATGAATACCTAATACAGATAAGCCTACATTAGATCAAATTTCATATGAAATAGAGTAACATAACAGGAATATCTAATTTTCCAAAGCTTGAAACATTTGCAAACTCTTCTAAACAATATACATTTATTTTCTACAGAATTGTATGACCCTTAATGAAGACAAAACAAATTTGGTCCTACAGAACACAACAGCTGCTTTTCACAAGAACAGGCTTGATGCTGAATATAAAGCTGCAACTGTACAACTACGAACTATAGAGGTCAGGCTTCCATTTTGCTACTTGACAAATGAACCTGAAAATACACCTAATATACACAGAGTTATTTATAGGAAAGGTGCTGACATAGATTACAGCTGTAGATAAGACTAGGTTAGCATTTCATTTCCTTTTAATGGACAAAAATATGAAAATAAAAACAATTTCTATAATGGTTTCCTTTGCTTGCTTAAGGAATCCCATCTTTGCACCCCAAGAACTATGGATTCAGGTAATCTGAATAGCAGCAGTTAATTTTAGGTTCATCAGAAGGCTCAGTATCAACTGAAATTCCACAGCTTTTAATATGACTCATATTATGATAGTATTTTTATTAATGTTCTATGCTGAAAAATGCTGTCTACAGATTTTGGCAAAATTCAGTGAGTCTGTCTGTGGGGGTCAAATGCCTTCTTGCATGCCTTCTGCAAGCTGGTCAGCCAAGAAATGTATTGACTTTAGCATGAATTATGCATAGAAGTGCATGCTAACATATACACACGATGTAAAAATATCACATGAGCATTAGCAGCCCTCCTATCTCTGGTTTGTTCAATGTGGCACTTTAAGTCATAAATTCTCATTTGATTTTTACCTATTATCTTAATGAATCTGTGCAGCAAATGCATGCTTCTACCTCATACAGAATAATAAGAATTGTTTCCCCATATGCTCATCAGAGAATTGGCACCATCACCTTTGGGTATGACAGTTGTTTTGAGAGTAACTTTTTAATTCTCTTGCTTCCATGGATTTAATCTTACTGATGTTATTGATGCATGTTTGGGACATAAATTCTACCAAATATTATTTGGAATAGATATCACAGTATTTATTTTAAGAACATGTCAGTACTATTTTCTTCTCTATACATTGTTCATATCATTCTCATGGGGAACCACAGTTTTTCTTTTCAGTACATGCTCCCAGGGTAAATGGCACCATGTTCTTACTGTGGAAGAAAATGTCAATATCAGAATTATGTTTATGGTCTGAGTAACACAACTATTACTGGAGAGTGAAATGTGGGTTGAATAGCATTTCAAAATATTTCAGGATTATCCAAAAACGTTATAGTTTATGGGATTCCCATATGTTCTTTATGTTATCTTTGCTTGTGTCAGATACAGAAAAATCAGGCTCATTCTCTTCTTTAGATTAATGAATCTCATTTATAAACTGAATACACATACAGAGTATGTATATATTACTTTGCTATCATGAGTGTTGGTATAAGAGCATTGGGCCTTTGTAGATTAGGATAATTTTTAAATTTTCTATGTTACTATTCAGAAATCATGTAAAAACATGATTTTCTGCTGTACAGAAAAGTTACAATTTATCTAAGGCTTACTTGCTTCAATTTCCAACTACCCTATCTTTGGTATCCCTGAGGAGGCAAATGGAAACTTTTGCTTCCAGTTTTAAGTAAGTTAAAATTCTCTGTGACTTCCGTACTCAGGAATAGTATATTTAAAGTTTAATAAATGAGAACAATCCAAGACCATACTGTGATTTGAGCAAAGCACAGGTACCCATCTATTTGGGGATACAGCTACTCGATTAAAATTCAAGACCTGTACTTCAGGTTTTTCTCCTTACACATAGAAAAAGAGTCTTGTTACAATATATTAATGTAGTGTTAAATAATGTTTTGCTACATCTATACTAACCTAAACTGAGCTGAAAATAAATTATTTGGCATCCTCATCTATAGAGGCATTTAAAATTTTAAAATTGTTATTATTGGCAGCTCTTTGTAATAGATTCAGATAGATTGGCCTGGTAATAGATAAATCATACTTTTGGTTTATTGGTTTATCTATTGGTAATAGATAACCAAACAAGCCTTTTGCCACTAGAGGGCTCCTATTTGTACTAGGCAATGAAAGTTTGTCAGAATTTACTTGATTCATGAAATCCAGAGCTAGAACGTATCAGCCGTATGAAGACTATTAGCACTAGAGCTCAAAATTCTTTCAGAGTATTAGTTCCAATGTCAGACTGTTTGTTCTGTTAAGAACTAATGTTCATCCAAAGTCTGACTGCTTGTAATATAAGCTCTTAAATCAAGCCTTTTGCTCTGTGCTGGCGAAGAACACATCTGTGAGACAGCTGCTTGGTATTTGAAGTGTACTAGTGTTTCCCCTTAGTCACATCATTGCCAAGCTACACTTTGTTTCATGACTTTATTTTTCTGTTGAGTAGACTGTCTTTATTGTTATCCTCTTAATCTATACCAGTTTATTCACACACCCTTCTTAAAATATGGTACCCAGAATTGGACAAGATGCTCAGGGGAATATCTGATTAGTATGGCAAAAACAAAATTGTTTGTTCCGGTGACTTTCTGTGGATTTGATTTTGATTGTGTGTTGTCAAGTCAGTGTCAGCTTTTAGCAACTACATAGACCTTCTCCAGGATGATTTGTCCCCAACCTGACCCTTCAGGTCTTCCAGTGGTTCATCCATTACTGCTGTAATCGATTCCATCCACCTTGTTGCTGGTTGTCCTCTTCTTTTCTTTCCTTTCACCTTGGCAGCATTATAGACTTCTCAAGAGTTAGGTCTTCACATAATGTGTCCAAAATATGATAATTTGAGTCTGGTCACTTGTGCCTCAAGTGAGACCTCAGAATTGATTTGTTCTAAAATTGCATTAGCAGTTTGCAATTGCATTGCTTTGCTGGCTTGCACTTTTAAAATCTCAGTATCTTTTTCACATGCACTGCTGCCAGGCAAGTATTCTTTTATGTGTGAATTAGAATTTGCTAACCCCCAAATTAAAAAATAATCTTGCATTAATTAGTTTGTTTTAAGTTAGATAGTATAGTTTTCTATTTATCACAGTTGTTTGAAATTTATTTTTATCTAGTTTTGTATCATCTGCAAATCTGATACCTTTCCCATTTCATCTAAGTCACTGGTAAATGTTGAGGACTACTGAGCAGGGAAAAACAAGTCTGGCAACTCATTTGAAATTTCTCTCTAGTTCATTGAGGAACATCTATATAGATGTTCGTTCTGATGGTATTGTCATCTTGTTCACAATTAATCAATATCCCAGCTAAAATATTATGAGGAACTGTCTTTTTTTTAATATAGTTTTATTAAAAAAATTTAAAAGGAAGATAAAAACTATTACAAACTAATATAAAGTAAGAAAAAGAAAAGAAAAAGAAGGAAAGCAAAGAGAAAGCTAAAATTGCAAGAAAGGGAAAAAAGTAAAAGAAAAATAGAAAAGAAAGAAAAAAGATACAAAGAAGTGGCTTCCAATCTTCTTTACAGCAGTTATAAGTACAATTATAAATTTACCTCTTACTCTATGGTTACAACGTAACTCTCTTGCAAGAAAGGGAAAAAAGTAAAAGAAAAATAGAAAAGAAAGAAAAAAGATACAAAGAAGTGGCTTCCAATCTTCTTTACAGCAGTTATAAGTACAATTATAAATTTACCTCTTACTCTATGGTTACAACGTAACTCTCTTCTTTCTATAATCTATTCTGTCTAGTTGACAAAACCACAGTTTATAAGTTCATTTTTTGCTGTTTTACCCAAAAAGTCCATAAGGGCTTTCCAGTCAGCAATAAACATAGATATTGTCTTTTCTCTGATCAAAGAAGTCAATGTAGCCATCTCAACATGTTTCCTCATTTTCACCCATCATTCCTCCATTGTGGGTAGTGCAGAATCTTTCCATCTTTGTGCATACAATAATCTTGCTGCAGTTAACATATAGAAAAACAAAGTTCCATGACTTTTTCCAATTGTTTTTCCACCAGTCCCAAAAGAAAACTCTGTTTTCTTTCAACTGTATATTAATCTTTAAAATCCTCTGAATCACTGTATGCATTTGAATCCAGAATTTTTGGTTTTTTACATGTCCACTAAACATGATAACATGTCCCTTCTTCTTGTTCACATTTCCAGCATAAATTTGAAGTGCCTTTATACATTCTAGACAATTTCTCTGGTGACATATACCATGTTCACATTTCCAGCATAAATTTGAAGTGCCTTTATACATTCTAGACAATTTCTCTGGTGACATATACCAATGGTACATCATTTTGTAAAAATTCTTTTTAAGATTATAACATAGTGATAATTTCAATCCTTTCAGCCGCATATTTTTCCATTGTTCCATCTGTACACTATAACCAAAAATTTTAGCCCACTTTATCATATCTTCTTTCACTTGTTCTTCTGTTTCAAATTTCAATAAAAGTTTATACATTTTAGCAATTACATGTTCATCATTTGTACACCCATCTGTACACTATAACCAAAAATTTTAGCCCACTTTATCATATCTTCTTTCACTTGTTCTTCTGTTTCAAATTTCAATAAAAGTTTATACATTTTAGCACCAACATGTTCATCATTTGTACACAATTCTATTTCCAACTCAGTCTTAGCATGTTCAAAACCATAAATTCTTTTGTCTACTTTAAATCTTTCTAATAACTGTAAATAAGAAAAACATTGACAACTATATCCCTCTGTCACCAGTTCATCTCTTGATTTTATTTAACATTCCCCTTGACAGAATTCTAATATCTCACAATAAGTTAGCCATTTGTGTTTGCCTATTATTTCTCATTTATAAAATGCTTCTTGTGCTGGGAGCCACAAAGGTGTTTTTGGGCACAATCTGGGTTTGTATCTATTCCATATTCTTAATATGGCATGTCTAACATAATGATTTTTAAAATCCACATTAACCTTGACTTTGTTGTACCACAAATATCCATGCCAGCCAAATCTCAGGTTGTGTCCTTCTGTCTCCAAGAGCCTTCTTTTTCTCAGCAGCACCCATTCTTTCATCCAAACCAAACAGCAAGCTGCAAAATACAATTTCAAATCAGGTAGACCTAATCCTCCTTTTCCTTTGTATCTTATCACAAGGAAAAGAGAAAAGGCAAGCTTCCCTTTCTTTTTCTATGTTGTCTTCTTGTGCCCTTAATACTTTAATCTCAAATGGCACTCCACAGTTACAGTTAGTATCACAGTCAGCATCTCCATAGTTATAGTCAGCATCACAGTCTAGTTCATGTTACCTTTATCTTTTGTTTTGTAAAATCCAAAACATTAATAATAATAAACAAAAAACATTCCCACAAAAGTCCAGTTCTTTTTCTTGTTTTAATTCCAGTTTGTTCAAAAGCACTTTCACCAAAAATAATCTTTCAAAATAACTATCCCCTTTATCCATTTTTAAACTTTCTTACATCCACTCCTTATTAAGCTTTCTGCCAAAAGTTTTTAAATCTTTAAAACCTTTTTTTCCTTTGTAATCCAGAAAGAATGTTGACTCACCAAGTGGAATTTTCTTATCCTGCTGCTCAGAAAATCTATCTTTAGCTGTAAATTAGTTACATCCAAAAGTATTTAAGAAATGAGGCTCACATGAACTTTGTGTCCATATAGGTTGCATTATGGCTGTGAGCTTGGTTGAAATCCTTCAACTCCTAGCCGTTCAATTTATGAGTGGACTGCAAAAACTTCAGTTCCTGCAGTCTACTCATGAGGAGCAGCTGTCTGGAATGCAAGTGAGCAATCTCACAATCTCTCCTTTATCCGGAGAGACTGTGTTGGTCAGAATTCACCGTCTGGCCATCAATCTCTGCCGCAATGCGATCCCTGCTGCTTCAGGGATGTCTAGTCCACCATGAATCCTCATCAGAAGCCCCATGAGGAACTGTCTGAATAGCCCAGCGAAGGCAAGAAATAGAGCTAGTCTGACAGGATTTATTCTTGACAAATAATTGCTTTATTATACTACTCAGTGCCTTGTTATGAAAATGCTTCCATGGCAATTTCTTTCATAATCTATTCTAAGATTGTCTCTGGAATCAAAATCTGATTGAGCAGTCTGCAGATTTATAGATCACCTGCAGTGTTGTGGTATATCCTCCAGATGATTTTAGCTGTTTTTATATTTTCTCTAGTTTTGTATGACACACAGAATCTACTGGAGTTGGGCGGCCAATAAATTTAAATAAATAATAAATGATAATGATAATGATAATGATAATGATAATGATAATAATAATAATAATAATAATAATGTGATTCCAAGTGCTTATCATTTATATTTAATTCAGGTTTGGATGCTCTTGTGGAATCTTAGGAAACTTAAGCTCTGACCCTCTATTCCATTTCTGCCATAGCTTCCATACTTCCTGATAGACTAAATTCTCCTGACAATTTGCTACCTGCAGCTCCAGTTTATTTAGCCTGTCTCCTAGATTTTTTATCTAAGAGCTTCCGTGCCTATAATTAGAGTGGAGTTGGTAGCTGGGAGTGTACTACAGGTCAAATACCAGATCTCCTGTGCGTGTGTGTGTGTATTTGTATGAGAGACAGTCATCATATATCTAACATACACAAAGGAAAGAGAGAGTGCTTCTGAGTGCTGTTGGTTACTCAGAGGGGGGATAGTGCCAGTGTAAATGTTAGAATTGTAGAATAAAAGTTAAATTAATACCACTAGGTGACATTATACTAAGAACTTTCGTGGCCCAGCATCTTTGCTTTGTTGTCAGGAGGTAAAGATACAGGGGAACAGGTAGGAAGGCGCCATACATGCTGTCCTGAGTTTCTTGTACAGCGGGTAGGATAAAGTATAATAAATGAAATTAATGTGTATTTCCTGTTATGTATTTGAGGAAGACTGTGGTCTTGAAAGTTGCCTAAAAATTGATTTAATAATCAGTTAATCATCATCTTTATCTCCTTGAAGCCTGAAAAAATCATATGCTACAGTATAATCTATTTTTAAAATATTGAATGGCCTATAGTTTCCCATATTGGTTTTTCATAAAACTCATCCCAGCCAAAAAAACTTTAATGGATTGTCTATTTTGTATGAAAGCTGGGTATGAGCTAGCCCATACAAATAAGAGCTAAAGTAAGGAAAGGCAGAAAATTTAGATTGTGCTTCTACTTTTAATGAATGCATCTGTAGCTTTTAGGCTACAGATACACACATACACACACACAACTAGTCCTATAAGTAATTTTATCTGACCAGACTTGTTAAATTGAGTTCTCTCTGATTTCAACAGATTGACTTGAATTGGTGGATATTTTACATTCACAAGAAGAGACTTAGCTTTGGCACTGGTATTCAGAATTTAGTTGGTAATGCCATATAATTCCACAGAACCTATTTCTTGGAATATTGTTTATATTTCATATTTCTAAAGCTGTCCACTTGCTCAACAACTCTGGGTGGTGTACAGATTGAAAACCCAAGAAATAGAACAATATCAGTCAACAGAAAAGGAAGATCGTCATCCCATTGGAACAGATATGAGAATACCTCCCAAAAAGAGCCCATAATCCACCTTAGCCCAAAGCATGAGGAAAGAGCTAGGTCTTTAAGACTCATTTGAAAGAGAGCAGGTTTGTGGCAGTTCAAATCTCCAGAGGGCAGAACCATGTAAGAGAACCATACTTCAAATGACATTGTTCAATGGATGGGAGCCAGAGCATTCTACTCTGTCTCATTTTACAGGAGAGAGAACAAAAAGAACAGGAGAGAGATGATCCCTTAAATGACTAGGCCCTATGCTATGAAGGGCTTTGTAGGTGAAAACCGGCACTTTGAATTGCATCTGGAAGCCTATTGGTAACTAATGTAATTCATGAAGCAGAGCTGACATGGACATACTGTGGCATGCTCATAACTGCTCACACATCATCATATTCTGGACCAGCCGAGTGGTCTTTGAGGGCAACTCCACCTACAGTGCATTGCAATAGTCCACACACAAGGCACCCAAGGCATGTGAGAAAGATCTCTTAGTCCAAGAATGGGTGCAATTGGCGTACAAGATGAATTTGTGCAAAGGCCCTCCTGGCTACAGTTGCCACCTGTCTCTTGAGTAGGAGCTGAGGATCCAGGAAGACCCCCCAGCTTGTGCATTGGTTCCATCTGAGCCAGTGCAAACCCATTCAGGACTAGAAGTGGAAAGCCCTCAGATCTGGATTCATGTACCCACAGCCACTCAATCATGCTAGGGTTGAGCCTAAGTCTGCCCCTCCCTATCCAGAATCCCATAGCTCCAGGCACTGGGACAAGACTGTGACACACCATTTGGTTGGCCAGGAGTTGAAATTCATAGAGCATGCTGATGATACCTGACCGTGTGGATTTATGTAGATGTTAAGATGGAGGAGAGCATCAAGCCCTGAGGTACTTCACAGGTCAGAGTTTTCAGACTTGATCTTTCTCTTCCTGTCAGCATCAATTGAAATCAGCCATGGAGAAAGAAGAAGAACCACCACAACACTGTACCTTCTATTCCCAATCCCTATAGTCAGTCTAGAAGCACACCATAATTGATGGTATCCAAGGCCACTGAGAGATCAAGGAGAGCCAGGATACTTGCACCACTTCCATCCCAGCTATGCTAGATGGAAATGTGATCAGTGTCATCTCAGTGCTATGCCCTGTCCTGAAACCTGACTGAAAAGATCCAGGTAATCCATCTCTTTCAGGGCCCTTTGAAGCTGCAGCCTGACCGTCTGCTCATCTACTTTCCCTAGAAAGCATAGCTTGGAGACTGGACAAAAGTTGTCCAGGGCTGTTTGGTCTAGGAATGGTTTCTTGAAAAGCGGCCTATCACCATCTCCTTTAAGACAGATGAAGCCAACCCTTTCCTCAGAGAGGAAGCCAGCATCATATGAACCTGGGAAGCCTTTACCAACCAGGAGGTGACATGGATCTAACAATCAGGTGACCAGGTTAACAGACCCAAGGATCCTGTCTACTTCCTCAGGAGTTACAGGATCTAACTCTTCCCAAATAACTGAGAGTACTGTGATTCATTCATGTTAACTAGGCATGCCCAATTAGAGTCCAGCTCCTAATAGATTCAAGTGACTATCTGTCAGATGCCAAGAAAATTCTTCACAACAGCCTTTAGATGTTTTTGTGGTCCATCTTTTCCTAGCAGAGAATGGGACATCTTAAAAAGTACCACTGGCTTGTTATCTACAGAGGCAACAAGATAACCCCAGAGAACCACTGCCAATAGATAAATATTGGGCTAGGTGAACAAATAGCCTGCCCTGGCTTGAGACAACTTCATCTCTAAATGCTAACCTTAAGGAATAGCCTGAATGAAATATGTATAAGCCATTTTATCAAATGCTTCTCTTGTATCATGGGTATTGTAGCTTGTCAAGTGCTTGTCATCCATGACTGCTGGAGTCTCAGATAGACAGCAAACTGACTTGGATAGCCATCAGATTTGACTGCTGGACTCTATTAGTGGGTGTATTGCACATTCTGAAGGCTTAGCTCTGATAAATGTTTGACTGAGTTTTCTTGAAGCCAGTAAAGCTTTCATAAAAACAGTCCAGCCTTTTGTTTTAATATCTTCTGTTTATTCCAGCAACAAGTTTCAGCACTGGAAGGAAAGAAGCATTTGCTTTTGGAAAAGTGTAAAGGTTTACTGAGAACAGCTAAACAAGTTTGTAACATTGGTCTTGATCAAAACCTTCCAGAAGATGTCTGCGAGGTAAATATAATAGTAAAGAGATGATGTATATAGGCAAACACACATATGCACAATACTCTTCAACCTTGTTTCCAGAGAAACCTACATAAGTAATAAAATAAGCTCAAAATACAAAATTGCCCTGAAATCAATGAAACATCCAGAATAAACCAATTAAAACAAAACAAAAACTATTAGAAACAATTGAATGTAAAAGCCTAAAAATTAAATAAAATAGGCACTAGAAGGCTTACACTCAAGAATGCCTTTTTTCCTAATCTGTGTTACTTCAGATGACAAGAATATGAGGGGGAAACCTCAAAAGATTATATTCTTGCATAGACAGGTTCAGAGAACAGGCTGTATAGGATTTTAAACGTTAAGACTTAGCCATTTGGATAGTGCTCAGATATAGATTAAAACCCATGAAGCCCCAGAAATACCCAGTAGGTGTGTCTTCAACATCTGGCTCCTAGTCACAATATAATATTTTGAATTGTCATTTGTGCACAGTTTCCAAAGACCCTTTTCTTATTGAAGAACATGAATAATCCAAAGGAATGCTACAGCTTGTAGACTAGCTGTAGCTGCCATAATGCTCTCTGGATCACAAAGGCTACTTGAGACTGTTTTTCAAATCATTAATGTTTCCAGTTATCAATTCAATACTTTTACAACTTTATCTGACTGAGAAGTCAAAGAGAAATAGAACTTGATGCCATCAGATTTTAAAAGTTTCTAAAAATTGTTCTCCGTTATTATTTCTTCAAATTGCACTCAAATCCTTGCACTTGTTGCCCATAGAGCCTCCAGTGGATGAGTAGATTTTAATAAGGTAGTATGTCCTTCTTAAGAATGAAGTGAAAAACCCAACTTACGATGCATAAACCTTTCTCTGTCCTTGTCCTTATTAAATGGAATTTGTCACTGGAACCACAAATTTAGTTTTTGGACAAAATTTCATCTTGGTTTAATACATTTTATTCCTTGTCTACTACTGAAGATTTCCTTGAAACATTAGGCATTATTACAGAAGAGCTATTGTGTCCTAAAATTGTATTTTCCTTTGCATCTTGCACAAATGCCCTTTTATTTTTCTATTTTCTCTTGAACTTTGCATAAATGCCTATTTATTTTTCTGTTAATCATGATCCTATGGGGTAATTGTATTTTTGTATATGTAGCTGGAGTCCAAAAACATTTAGCTGGCAGCATAACTTGTGCAAAAAGGTATATAATCAATAGCTTATCAGAAATCCGCAATGTCACTTTCCATGCTCACTAGTATGTTCCGTTATTCTCTAAAGAGCTTGATAAGAAGCATCACAACTTTCTTCTCCAGCTTGCAACTGGATAATGGCATGTTGCTAAAGTTGTATTGGATGGAAACACAACACAATTATGGGAAAGCTCCATCTTTCCACTTCAAGCAATAGAGGAAGCTTGAAGTTTGAAGTTACTATTTTGGTAATGGAATGCTACAATAAATAATCTGCTCCCTTTTCTTGCTTGAAGTGGGTAGTGAAAATCTGTTACAGTTGTTCCCTTCTGCCACCTCATGTTTATGAAAGGTTATCTATATCAAGGGAGGGAGCTTGGGAAACACAAACTAGAAGTAAGCAGCTAGACCTTGCTAACAAAAAGCCCACGCATGTACGAAGGAACATACTATGTCCAGGCAAACATCAATAGATGCTTTTGCAAAGCAATTATCTTATTTTACACAAATGTAATGCAATATTTTTAGGCATTCCGGGACCTTCCAAATACAGTGGATGAAATTGATGCTCTACTGAATGAGGAGAGAACAAGAGCTTCATGTTTCACAGGTCTCACTGCTTCAGTATGTACACCCAGTATTACATTATACTACATTATGTATATTATGTAGAAATTAATAATCATTGTTTTTGTCGTCATCATCATCATCAGCTAAGCAGGAGGAACAGTGTGTTGTAAATGCCATTAGAATTCTAAATAGTTTTTTTTTCCCAAGGTCCAATATGTTCTATGCTGCTTTTCCTTTAAAAATGAAAAAGAAAACAGGAGAGAAAGTGGGGAAAAAGAGCTCTAGTTTACTTTAGAGTGATGGCAGCAATATATTTATTTGATACCAGTTTTACTTTAAAGCAAGTTACCTCTTCATAGTGCCTTCCCCAATCATATTTGAGTGACAGACATCTTTCCATTATTGAAGAAAACAAACAGTACTTGATTATGAGATACTGTAGAGAACTAAAGAGATGGGGGTAGGGTTAGTTTTTGAACCATACATTCCTTTTTGCTCAAAAAATCATAATCTGTTGCTGCAACCATGTTGTATTTGATCAGATCAAATCATGTGGAGAACATACATGTCAATATTATGTATAGTTGTAGACTCTCATAAAACAGCCTTGGATGATTCTTGCTTGAGATAATAGCCAAGCAAGCTACCAAGTTCAGTATAATTTTTGTGTGTGAGGAAGCAATCAGTATTTTTGTATTCTTACTTCAGATTTGGATAGTAAAATTTTTGCATCGTCAGTTCAAAAGATAATGCCTTTTAACCAGACAAGTTTTTTCCTCCCAGGTTGTTGAAGAATATAATAAAAGAGTAAAAGAAATAGCACAGGTGACAATAGAACTGGAGGAAAAGAAAAAGGAGCTGGACAGCTATAGGCAAAATATTTCACAGGTACTGATTATTACTGCTATTACTTTCACTAGTATTTTGTCCTGAAATAAATATCCATTAAGGAGTTATACTGTAAGATGCAGCATAAATGATTATTGACTGTAGAATAAAAAAAATAGGAAAAAATGGGCCAAAAGAATCAAGTAGTGTAAGTTGCAATTGTTTAGCCAAGCATTTCATGGATAAAATCTCTTGTATTCACTCCAAGTTGGAAGCTGGATGAATAGAATCCCAGTTGTACATCTGCACCCCAGGACTTATGGGAGATGTAGTAGAAGTCCTGACATGATACCTGGAGGCTGTCAGGATCTAAATGAAGAAAAACAGGCTCAAATTCAACCAAAGATGGAATGGTGCTAATTCAGAAGCTTACTGATTCCAGAACTATACCGTCTTTGTCTCTCTGTGAGGTTGTGTTCCCCAAGACTCAGCAGGCTTGAAGTCTGGGGATGATCCTGGACTCATGGTTTCTGCTAGAGGAACATCTGGGAAGGCCTTTTTGTCCTGCTTTGACTGGTGCCAGTTGTGGCCTTATTTGAAACAGGATGAACTGAAGATAGTCACTCATGCTTTGTCATCTCTCACCTACATTATTATAATTTGTTCTACTTGGGGTTGACCTTGAAGATCACCTGGAAACCTCATCTGGTCCAAAATGCAGCAGTTGGCATCCTTACTGGTCAGTCTCAATAATGCCATGTTAGGTTGCTGCTACAGAAGCTGCATTAGTTACCAGTGTGTCTCCAAGTTCAAGTGAAGGAACTGGTCACTAACTTTAAAGCCCTATATGGCTCAAGGCCTGGGTGTCTAAGAGATTGCCTTTCATAAATAAATGCTGCCTATGGATTTGGTTGGCCAAAGAGCACCTACAAGTGTCCTCATTTACCAGGAAGTGCAGTGAGAGTAGGCTTGATGGCAAGCATTCTCTGTAGGGCCTCCTTTTTTTAGAACAGCTTGCCTCCTGAAGCAAGGATGGCTTCCATTTTTAGTGCCTTTTGGAAAGCTGCTAAGACCTGACTCTTCTGGAGGGCTTTTAGGGATTGATTGCAAAGCCATTGAGTCCAAAATTAGTTTGATTGTATTGTTATATGATATTATATTTTCTATTATATTGTTTTGTCTTATTATATTTTATTATATATCCTTGTAAGTCACCTATAAACTGACCGGATTGAGGTGGTATATAAATGTCATAAATAAATAAATAAATAAATAAATACAGCCCAGAAACCAATTCAGCAGCAATAACAAGGACTATATATACATTCATAGGCTAGGATAATCAACTATAAAACAGGATCCAGATTTGTGTGGGACTGCAGCCCACTCCAGCCACAATGTCGCAACCCTAGCATTCATGCATACTAGGTAGCCTGAGGATTGGAAATTATGGCAGCCATTTGAACAGCAAACTTGAGCAGTATGGCTTTGTGTACATCAATAACCTAAGCAAAGATGGGATGGGAGTTTCACCTACATAGTAGCCACTGATAACCAACTTAACCTGATGATGGTATCAGTTTATGCCCATGAAGATTGCCAAAATGCGATGTGAAGGTGTAGTATCAACATGGTGCAACACAGCCTATGTCTGTTTTCCATGGAGCAATGTTAATGCATGAATTAGTTTGCTTTCTTCCCCAAATTGGAAGTAATTCAGAGCCTGGATACATCTGTAGTTTTTGACCAGTATGCAGGCAGGTAGGTAATTAAGACCACTATTAATTAGTAATATATTGAATACTTCATTGTGACATTTTCTGTAGTACTAGAGATGGAATCTTTATTGTCACTCCTCTTATGATCAATCTTTTTTTTAAGGTTAAGGAAAGATGGCTAAACCCTTTGAAGCAGATGGTTGACCAAATAAACGAAAAGTTCAGCAGCTTTTTTAGCTCTATGCAATGTGCAGGAGAGGTAGATCTTCATACAGAAAATGAGGTATGATTATAAAAGTGATGTATTCCTTTATAGAGAGAAAATCCCTTCCAAATGCATAAATTATGGCTTTTCAATTAATGCAATTTTAACAGTGGTTCAAGTGTAGCACTAAATACTCTACATTAAAAACTGACAGAGCCCTATCTAGTAGCACATTAAGTCAGGGACAGATGTTTTGGGCTATATTTTCCACAATCCTTTCCCACTAGCCATATTGGCAGGATTGATGCAAATTGTATTCCAAAACATCTGTGGAGCATCAGTGAGCTGCTTTTACTGTAAGTAATGGTACATAGAGCATACTTATGAAACTGAAAGGAGTAGGGTAATCCAAATATAGTCTGGCCCACTTTCTCTGATTGAGCTGTTGAGCAAAATAGATGCAGCTATAATCCTATGTACACATGTACCTGGGTTTAGTACCCAAAGCACAATGAAGCTTACTTCTGAGGAAGCATACATAGTCTTGTATGTCTAGAATATAGCTAAGAGAAAACTCTCACTGTCAACCCAAATATAGGAGTCAAAGAGGGCAGGTTTATCCTCAGTGGTGTCCCTGATTGTACCTCCCTTCTTCTCTATTAATGAATGGCTGTCACATATGCTTTTAGCCACTAGAGGGCTGGATTGCAATGCTTACTGCATGACTCTGAGTCAACCCAACTTCTCTTACAGAGTTGTTGTATTACTGTGGTTGTGATAAATTAGAGAATTGTTCATATACAGTGGGGCAAAAAAGTATTTAGTCAGCCACCAATTGTGCAAGTTCTCCCA